TAAGAATACAAAGTACACAACATGGAGGAGGATTGAGAACATTGGTTCCAGTACTTAGTGACTATTGATTGTAGAGATTTTTCCTTTTAGTGTCTTCTATTTAAAGCATTAATTTAAAGATGTCCTGCCATGGCTCTATAAGAACAGAGCTGCCAGAGGGGCAGTACAATGAAAAAAAAGGACTCAAAGTTAGAGAGAGAGAAAAGATGAAAGTCAAGGAGAGAATATATTTTGAAACTAAGTGTAAGGATTCCCTTCATTCAGAGTGTAAGCATCTGTCTTAGCTCAGACTGCTATAACAAAATAGTGTAAACTGGGTGGCTTATCAACGAAAATTTATTTCTCACGGTTCTGGAAGCTGGAAGTCTGAGTTGGGTGGCAGCATGGTCAGGCTCTGGAGAGGCCGCTCTTTTGGTTGCAGGCTGCTGACTTCTCTTATCCTCCTCACGTGGCAGAAGGAGAGGAAGCTAACCCTCTGGCCTCTTACAAGTGCACTAATCTCATTCATGAGGGCTCCACACTCATGACCTAATCACCTCCTACAGGTCCTGCCCTCAAATACCATCACGTTGGGGATTAGATTTCAACCTGTGAATTTTGAGGGACACAAACGTCCAATCCATAACAGCATCCAAATTGGTGTTAAGAAAAGAAATCATATCCTCTTATTTCTGCCTCAAGTTGCCCATTAATGAACCAACTAGATAGTGCCCATCCACCTCAAAAGGAGCACTCTCCTCACAGTGTTGTACGTAGAAAGACCGGGCAGAGGGAAAGGAAAGTGATGGTAGAGCAACTTGCTTTTGAGATCCTCTAGGTGATGGGTACCAAAGCCTTCACTTTGGCAAGCGACACCAACTGGCCAAAGATGTTGCACTTTTCAACCAACAGAAACGGATAGGGGAGGTGCCGCTGACACAGCCCTCTTATCATAGGAAGAGACGTGTAAATAGACAAGAGGATGACGGAGCCACAGTCAGCACTGGATGCAGTGAGGAAGGATATAGAATAGTGACCAGGAAAGACGATTTTCTCCATCCTTATCCCTGTCAAAATTCTGGACTTAGAAACACTGAGGCCAGTCTATCCATTTTCAGAGAACTGGCTTAGTGGAGAAAGAAATGACAAGAGTTTTTGTCTCCTTGAAATTGTTAAATAGGACTTCACAAAGAAGCACATGAGGGTCGACAGATGACCCTGAAATGAGAAATTTAAAAGGTGGAGAAGAATTTCACAGACTTTAGAGGTTGTTTCCGTCTGGTCTGCTGAACCCTTCACAGTCAGCCACAAGTATGAGAAGACTCACTCTTCCCACCTGGTTAACGAGCAGGAGATGGCAGAGCCTCTGTTGGCTGCACTGCAAGTCACGACAAAGAGGAATGGCATAAATCAGCTTGCAGGCAATGGAGAAGCCAAGAAAAAGATTGTCTAGCAGTTTTAGTTCTGGGAGAGAGAAGGGGTTTCCAACCTCTCAAAGATTTGTGCCCCCAGAGTCATTTTTTTAATTTAATTTTTCATATTTTATTCCTCAATAGGTTAAGAATGTGGAATTTTCCCAAGTACTGATTTATAGGTAGTGTTTATAAGTGGCACACAAAACGTTCAGTTTCACAAATAGTAACATTCATTGATCCCTTTAAATGAATTTCAATCTTTATTTTAAGCTATGTGCAATAATAATTTAATACAGTATAGTTAAATACATGTAAAATCTGTATATCCTGAACTATGGGAATTTGAGGAAGTCGTTTCCACAGCCATATTTGATTTTAGTCAAGTACGCATTTCCACAATGGACAACTACTAACAAATATGTTAAAACACTACCCTGAATATTTATCTTGCCATCAGATTTTTAAGCCTAACCATTCCAGCTACTGCTGAAAGCATTTATTTTAGAAGCTTTAATCTGATCTGGGAAAATGAGTTCTCTTACAACCTGACAAATAGTATGTATAATCCCCAAAGCTTTTAAATCAAAAAAGCTTTCCAACACTGAAGCATTCACATGGAATTTAGTTTCTCCAAAAAATCTCTCATGGGGCCAGCCCAGTGGCGTAGTGGTTAAGTTTGTGTGCTCTGCTTCAGTGGCCCCGGGTTTGCAGGTTTGGATGCCAGGCATGGGCATACATACCACTCATCAAGCCACACTGTGGAGGCATCGCATATACAAAGTAGAAGAAGATTGGCACAGATGTTAGCTCAGGGACCATCTTCCTCACACACACACAAAAAAATGCTAGCTGAAGAAAAGAATATTAGAACAAATTATCTTTTAAGACAGAGAAACATTTTTTACAAAAGACTATATTCCTATATCATCTTCTACTTAAGATAAACACAAACCAATTAACTATCTTTAATAATCTGTGAGATTACTGTTGTCTAGAAATTTGAGAATACATGAAACACACATTTCAGCTGTCATAGGGTCAAAGGTGACATTTAGATTTTACATATTAAACAGCTATAGGATAGCCTATAGTGGCACAAAGACACCTGATGCAAGTACTGCTTCATCGTTTCGATGTCAAAAGTCAGAAGGATCTGTGTGAGTTACAAGATACTTTAGCTTTTGTGTGGTCATTAAAACCCAATAAGTAATTCAAGTATGGTAATATAAAGGCAGGCAATTAAAATCTCAAATATCACTCTAAAATCAAAGACAAGAAAATTTTGTGTTTCTCCATCTTTCACTTACACAGATATCAGGACCTTACCATAAAAAATATTCAGTTACTATATATGGTTGCCCCAGAAGATAATTACAAAAAGGTGTCAGAAATTACGGAAGGTGTCAAGATCCATAATAGGTCTCATCAAGTGCTTTTCTAGCTGGTTTCAATTCTTCACTTGTATTACTCACAGTAAACAAGACTTTAACCCTAACAAACTCCCCTGGTCCTTTCAAATCAAGAAGACAGTATCTTTAACTTGAACTCGACTTTGTCTTCCAATTGACATTGCCTTTGAGTCATTTCAGGGATGAAGTCTATGACAGTCTTTAAGAATATCCACTGGCTCAGTGTAAGGATTCTGATGATCCTCATACATCATACATTGTATTTCTTTAGAAAAAATTCTCTTTCTTTTACCAGGTCTACCTTCTACAACTCCACCTTCTTCATTTTGTTCTGCAAGGGTAGGGTTTTCATCCCTATCTTCTCAAGGTCATTTATTTTTTTTTTGAGCTGGGATTTTACTTGAAGGATGTTTCAATTCTAGACAATGTCAACCGGCTCTGTACTCTGAAAGGTGAGGAAATTAGCAGGGTTTTTTTTTCTGGAAGATTCTCTGCCAATTTTTGTTCACTAGAGTGTTTTTTTTTACCTTGTCTAAGTTTTTAATGTTTGGATTCTCTTCCACAGGGTTTCTTTTTTTTTGAAGATTGGCACCTGGGCTAACAACTGTTGCCAATCTTTTTTTTTTTTTTCTGCTTTATCTCCCCCAAACCCCCCTGTACACAGCTGTATATCTTAGTTGCAGGTCCTTCTAGTTGTGGGATGTGGGACGCCGCCTCAACGTGGCCTGACAAGTGGTGCCATGTCTGCGCCTAGGATCCGAACCCTGGGCCGCTGCAGCGGAGCGCGCCAACTTAACCACTCGGCCATGGAGCCAGCCCCGGGTTTCTTTTTTATTGTATTCATTGCTTGCTCAAGGTCATTTTTAGTCTTCAAGTCTGTCCTTGATGTCCTGCCAATGCTATTCAGACCTGGACTCAGTTGGATGGCTGTGGTGCCAGGTTTGGAACAGAGCTGGATGCAGTGCCAGAGTCTCCCCAAGTCATTGCTCAGAGACTAGAGCTGGTGTCATGACAGGAACAGGAGAATCCCACCCTAAAAGGAAATCTGTGGCACTGCCTCCATGGTTAGATTCGGAATGGGTGGTGGGGTGACGTGATTGCTGATGGCAACCTCACAGGATGGAGGGGGAATAGGGCCTTTGTCTCCAGTGGGGTTGGGAGTAAACTTAGGCCTCCAGTCCCTTGCAGTCCTAGGCTTCAAAATATGTGATTTCTTGGTTATAATGTTCCCATTACTTAACTTGGTGAACTATCTTTCCTTGAAGCCCAGATCCAACTTGGGATGAGTGTGCGTTTCCAAAGATTCTTTGGACATCTCAGATACCTGCTTTACTCACTTGAAGTGATTTTGAGAAGGAATATTTTGTTTTTTTTTAAGATTGGCACCTGAGCTAACAACTGTTGCCAATCTTTTTTTTTTTTTTTTTCTGCTTTATCTCCCCAACTCCCTTCCCCACCGCCCCCCACACACAGTTGCATATCCTAGTTGCAGGTCCTTCTAGTTGTGGCTCTCAAAAGGAATATTAAAGTCAAAGATAACACCCTGATCTGTGAAGCAAATAGGAATGAAAGCACTATTCCCAGTGTCATCCTGGGACCAGGTTACAAAGTAGAAGCTGCAATCTCACTGTGTCCTCAACAATATCAGGATATTGTTCTACTGGTGCCTGAGCACAGAGTGCTCCTGATAATTCGTAGTCGAGTTGATATAGGCAATCTTCCCTTTTAAAGTGCGTTGGGCATGACCAGTCCAAGCAGGCTGGCCCAAATTCCAGACTGAAGCCACATTGAAGGCCCCTGAGCAGAATCTGGTAAATGTTGACACACAGCCTCATGTTCAGGACAAGGCTTATACTCTGGGCTACTCTCTTGGCCCTGCTCTCCATGCCCATTAAGTCTTCTTTAATCTCTAGGTTCTTTCTTGCTTACTTTTTCCTTGTAATTTGTTGACGGAACCATTTCTCAGATTCTGGGTTTTTTTTTTTTCAAAGATTGGCACCTGAGCTAACAACTGTTGCCGATCTTTTTTTTTTTTTTTTCTGCTTTATCTCCCCAACCCCCGCCCCCCCCAGTACATAGCTGTATATCTTAGTTGCAGGTCCTTCTAGTTGTGGGATGTGGGACGCTGCCTCAACGTGGCCTGACGAGCAGTGCCATGTCCGTGCCCAGGATCCGAACCCTGGGCCGCTGCAGTGGAGCTCGCAAACTTAACCACTCGGCCACGGAGCTGGCCCCTGGGTTGTTTTTTTTTTTAATGCATTCTCATGGTGTTAATAGGTTCCTCTACCTTCTGCATTTCCTATAAATTGTTGGTTAGATTTAGAATAGTGATTCTCAAAGTGTTATCCCCTGACCAACAGAATCAGCATCACTTGGGAACTTGTAGGAGGTGCTAATTCCTACTCACCTCAGAGAGGCTAACCATCAAGGTCACCATCTTGGTGAGGCCTAGCATCCCATTTTTGTGAAGTCACCCACTGTGTAGAAAGGCCAAAATAACTGGGATGGGGAGGGGTGAAATATTGGGTGAGGTAGTGTTTGGTCTCTTAATGGGATGGCATGCAAGTATTCCTAGATTTTTTTTTCTAGCAGTGAAAAATTTGAATTTTTTTTTTTTTGCATAGTGTCAGAACAAATGGAATGGTGGACTTACAGTTAAATAGTTAACAGCTGATTTAATGTACTTTGAAAGCTGTATCATTAGTTGTGGTACACTGTTCCCTGCCTTTCTCAGAAAATTGAAGGGACAAGTGTTCACTTTCCCTCAATGCTTAGGCCCTCAAATCTTGACACTTTCTAGAAAACAAGGTAGCTCAGATATGGCAAACCCTCCTCTACAGTTTCTGGTTGCCTACATACTTGGCAGCCAAGGGCACCTGGTGTAGAAAGATCCTTGGCTGGGCCCTTTGGTGGCACCAACGGCTTGTCAAGTTTCCATAGAGAGTAAAAGCCAGGTTTGTTTTGCCAGAAGAGATCCTTCTGATCTTACTGGAAAGGGTCATTCCAGGGCTGGCCATCCTGGCAGACAATCAGGACCTACTCAAACAATTGAACCAGGACCAATAGATGGAACTGAACTTTTGTGAACTCATGGAGTAAACACAACTTGCCTACCAAGTTGTGAGATCAGACTTTGTTTTCCAAAGCCCCAGTGAACAAAATTGACATAAATCACTTTAAACCTATCTTGATACTCCTTTGTAAAAAACAAAAAAGTGAAGGATAGGCTGTACGCATTTGTTAACACTCATAGCACTGAACCCCAAAAGAGAATGGATTTTACTGTATATAAATTTTTAAAAAGTGAATTAAAAAAGGAGCACTTAGATAAACAGAATGATAAAATGTGACCACAACTTGTTAGAGTTTTCCTACATATTAAAACACAACGATATTGGAAAGTCATTTTTCAGTGGAAAAAATTCCCAACTCTTTAATTTGGAAAGTAGGTAGTTTGGCTTCTGTTTCAAATGAAGATATGTTGTCTGAAAAAGTAACATGTCAGTGGGGGGACAAAGTGAGGAAGGGCGCAGAGATGGGAGCTTAATTTTCCATTCTACCCTTGATGGACATTTGGGTTGCTTCCAAGTTTGAGCACCTGCAAACCATGCTATATAAACATCCTTGTTCATGTGCCCTGGTACACACGTACAAAAGTGAAATTGCTTGGTCCTTAGGTATGTGTATTTTCATCTTTATTAAATATTGCCACACTGTTTTTACAGAGTGGCTGTACCGGTTTGCACCCTCACCAGCAGGATGGGTCCCCTTGGCAGGATTCAAGTGTGCCCCCTTAGGGAATGTGGGGAGGTAAGCCTTGGGAGGAATGAGGAAGCCAGGCAGGGGAAGGCCTTGGGTGCCAATCCAAGGAGTTCAGACTTTATTTGACTGCACTGGGAAGCCACTGGTGATTTTGGAACACGGAACAAAATGCAGACATGAGGTTTTAGAAAGGTGAGTCTTTAAAGTTCTCAATTGGTTTGTGTTGGGGGGAGAGCAGTGATGATTGTGGGGTTGGCTTAGGCCATCATCAGGATTCAAGCTCATAGGAGAGAGGACAAGATTTGTGGGGAGAAGGTACAAAGGGGGAACTGAGCAAATGCCAGGGGGCAGAGACCCATAGCATCCCAGATCTACCAACGCTTGTCCATAAGTAATCCAGTTAAACTACCTCACACTGCTGGTGGGGGTGTGAAGTATTACAACCCCTCTGGAAAACAGTGTGCCATTATTTAGCAAAAATGAAGATGCACAAATCCAACGACCCAGAAGTCCCTAAATATACCAAAACAAAACAAACAGGCAAACAAAACCACCCCCGAAAGAAGGGGTTTCGAGAGGAACGAATTGTCAACAGTGCCAAATGTAATAGAGAGGTCCATCAAGAGAAGACCTGAAAAGCATCCACAGACTTTGGCAATTAGGAGTCTGATGATGATCTTTGCCAGAGAAATGTTTGTGACACAGTGGGGGCAGAAATCAGAACATAGTGGTTTGAGTGGGGAGTGGGTGGTAGCAAAATGAGACCAAGTGTAGAACATGCTGTCAGGGTGGTTGGCTGAGCCAGACTCAGCACACAGAAACACTCAGTGTATGATAAAGGTAGCATTCAAAACCAGTGGATGGAGGGTACATAATTTGACGAATGGTGATGTAATACTTGGGAAAATAATAAAGATAAATCCTTATTTTATCCCATACATCAAAGTCCAGATGGATTGAATGTATTTTTTTTAAGATTGGCCCTGACCTAACATCTGTTGCCAATCTTTCTTCCCCCTCCTTCTCTCCCTCCCCTTCCTTCTTCTCTCCTTCTCCCCAAAGCCCCCCAGTACATAGTTGTATATTCTAGTTGTAGGTCCTTCTGTTTGTGGCATGTGGGATGCCTGCCTCAGCATGGTTTGGTGAGTGGTGCTAGGTATGCACCCAGGATCCAAACCCATGAAACCCTGGGCTGCTGAAGCAGAGCACGGGAACTTAACCATTCAGCCACAGGGCTGGCCCCTGGATTGAATATTTAAATATAAAAAATAAAAACAGAAAAGAACTAGAAGAAAATATAGGTGTACATAAACTTGGGGATGGTTAAAGCATTTCTAAGATTGACAACAAAACTAGAAACCTTAAGGGAAAATATGAGTAAATTTGACTTCATTAAAATTCACACACACACACACACACACACTAAACCCTTCTGTAAGGAAAAGAAGAAAAAGAAAAGACCATAGACAAGATTGAGTGACAAACACAGAAAAATATTTACAATATATGATAAACAACTCATAAATAAATAAGAAGCCTGGGCCATTCAGCCAGGCTGGGACACCGGCTCTGTTAGGAAGAACATGGCAGTCCCACATGAACCATGTGGAGTGGGGTTGGAGGACTTTCCCACAGAAGGGGAGAGATGCTGGGCATCAGGTCCCAAAGAATCTACTGTACATCCTTCCCTGTCTTCTAGCACTGCTTTGGAATTTTTCCCTTTTCTTTTCTTTCATTTTTTAAAAAAATGTAACTTCAGTTGGATTTAGGGAGGAAAGATAAGTAAATAGAATAATTCAGTTCACCATCTTGAACCAGAGTTTTTGATTGCTATTAAGGCTGAAATTTTTTTAATTGGTGTTGAGTAATTGTATTCTTTTTGGGGATCACTATTCATATCCATGTTTATATTATACTAACCCTAACCCTAACCCTAACCCTAACCCTAACCCTAACCCTTAGGGTTAGGGTTAGGGTTAGGGTTAGTATAATATAAACATGGATATGAATAGTGATCCCCAAAAAGAATGCCATGTTCTTCCTAACAGAGCCGGTGTCCCAGCCTGGCTGAATGGCCCAGGCTTGGGCACCATAGGGGAAGGGATGCCTCTTACTACCCTCCCCACCTTGGGTTCTGTTTTATGGAACAAACACAGTAGTCAATTGGAAAACCATGTATAACTTTACCAACAGGTAAAGACTTAGAAACCCTGTGGTAGATGCTTGGAGTGGCTCACTTTTTTTTTTCCTTAAAGATTGGCACCTGAGCTAACACCTATTGCCAATCTTCCTTTTTTTCTTTTTTCTTCTGTCCGAAGCCCCCCAGTACATAGTTGTATATTCTAGTTGTAGGTCCTTCGGGCTATGTGGGACATCACCTCAGCATGGCCTGAGAGGGGTGCCACATCCGCACCCAGGATCCAAACTGTGAAACCCCAGGCCGCCAAAGCGGAACTTGCAATCTTAACCACTTGGCCATGGGCCGGCCCCTGGATTGGCTCTCTTAACCTCCTTTTCACCCTGCCAACTGGAGAGGTTGGAAACCCAAAAACTTTACTTTCCAGTATCTCTTGCTGCTAGAGTTCTGGATGTAAATTGGGTTACACCAATTAACTACACTTACATCACAATTGTTGAGGAACCTGCCTCCCAACACAAAGAAAAGAGAGTTACCTGAGAAGTAGGTCAAGTGGGAAACCCTGAGGCTCTGAGACAGTGGGCATTGTGGCAGTCAGTGGTAATGGGGGACTTCAGGCGTGCGCCCCACCCCTCCACCCTGCTGGTCCCTTTGCTCAGTTACGCAGATGAATGGCTGTCCTTCTTCAGCCAGGCAGAAAGGCTCTCAAAGGAGATAAGAACTCCTGACAAACAGAAGCTTGGAGTAATAAATCTTTGTTGTTTTAAGCCAAAAAACAAAAGTAAGTAAGAACTTGCTTTGGTTAACTGTTAAGGTGGCATTAGGACTGTACAGAGGAACAGGCAGTGCTCCAGCCAACTCCCAGTGGACACTGGACATAAGGAGGAAAGCACTTTGCTGCAAGGGCAGTTCCCTCCCTACTCCCTCCATCAGGAAGGCTCCTGAGCCTGCAAAGCTGTTCCCTCTGTGCATCCTGGAGGAAAAGCTCCCTGTCCCACACCTTCCCATCCCCTCAACAACCCAGGGGGGAAACTCACCCTCAAATCCTGTGTAAAGTGAAAACCAAAAACAAAAATCAGAAACTAAAAGCTACCTAAACTAAATGTCAAATGATTTAAACAAAACACAGATGGGTAGAAACCAAAGGGTTTCACTTTGGCAGTAACGTCCCAACTGGTCTTTCCACCTGTCCTATCATCCACGCTGAAGCCAATGATTCCGTTCTTGTACTAAGTCCCATCCCACATTCCTTTGAGTTCAGACACATTTGCTGACGTTTACCCCTCTCCCAAGAGTGGCCCGGCCCATCTTCACAGGCCCTGACTTTTTCTCCCCACACTGGCCCTCAACAGAAACTGTCCCCCAGTTCCTGGAGGACGCTGTGTTCTTCTACCTCTCAGGTCTTTATTTTTACGGCTCCTTTCTTCTGCCTCAAATTGCCCCTTGGCAATTCTGCTGTTCCACATCCTACCCTCACCCTACCCTTTCTCTGTCCATCCGCAGGCCATCTTTTCCAGAAAGTATTTCTTTAACACACAGGGCCTGGGCTAGGGCCTGGCCCTTAGAAGGTAAGCAATGACCGTTTGTGGAATGAATTCTCCAAATGTATGTTGTTTCTCTTTTACTGAGCCCCTCCTTCCCCCTTGTGATTCTTTTTAGGGCTTCATATTCTTCTGCTTGTGAATTTGTCTAATCCCCAACCTGCTGGAAACTCCCTGAGGCCCAAGACTGTGTCTTCCAGCCTAGGCTGTCCTGATCTGAGACTGAGGAGTTTCCCAGGTTGGGGGCTTTCAGTGCTAAAACCAGTGTCAACTTAAAAAGCAAATTCACTGTTATCTTATCCTCAAAATGAGTTTATTTGGGAATAGCCAAAAGAATTGTAATTTGGGATGTGCATGCTATGGCAAACCAAAGGCAAATCCAGAAAACAAAGGAGGGGAGCTGCTTTCACAGAGAGAAAGGGGGGATGGGGAGGGGCTGTTCTAAAAGAAACGTCCTTTGGGGGAAAGTAACAGCTCAGGGCTGCAATGGCTTCTCATTGGCTGGGCTGTTGCCAAGTGGGGAGAGAAATCTTGCTTCAGTAGTAAAGTAGTTTTACTTCCTGCCTAAGACTCAAGGGTGGGCTCTTCCTGTTTTATGTAATCGGTGATGTATGATAGGGTGTGAGAGCTCCCTCTACAGGCCTTCTCAACTCTAATATAGTTAAGGTTTCTTTTATTAATTTCTACACGGGGAAAGTCTCAGGCAAACCCAGATGTGTTGGCCACCCTTGTCTTGCCAGTCCTTGATTCCATGGATCATTAAGAAAAGCTAGAATGTGGAGTTAATGTGATGGCTCAGCCATGGCCTCTGAAACACATCTTTCCTCATGTTGGCTGCAGGCAAGTCCTTGGTCCAAGGGTGTGGCTTTTCCACTGAGGGAAAACTCCACATGATCTAGGAATGAAGTGAGGACTTTAAAGCAGAAGACAAATTTCCTATCTGAAAGGGAAAGCAAACCCTGAAATATGGATCTGAAGACAGAGAATCCACAGACGACCTGTGGAAGAGGAGGGGTGTTCATCTTTTAAAGGAACTTCCAACGTCTGCTCTTCCTCCTATGTCTCTGAGTCCATGGGCAAGTGTTATTTTCTCTGAGCCTCAGTTTCCCTATCTGCAAGACTGGGAACGAAAATACTCTCCTCCCAGGACTGCTGAGAGAGTTAAATGAGAGAAGGTGTGTTTAAGTACCATGCCCAACACCTGGTGCCTGGAGATGCTATGACTGCCAGCGTCTTCCCAGCATGTTCCTCTTCCCTGCTTCCCCCTACCACACTGTGTGCCTGTCCCCCACACTGGTCCTTTTTTCCCCTTCACTCTGTCTCCCTTCTTGCCTCCCTCCAAACTTCCTGTTTTCCACTTATTACTGCCTCATCGTATCTTTTCTACTTACAAAAAAGGAATTAATAAAATGAGGGCAAAAGTCAGCATAAAGCTTAAAAAAATCACAAACTATGTGACGTTTTTCTTGCAGTTTGGTTTGTTCAAATGCCTTCTTCATTTTCCTTGTCTGTATACTCCTCTGAAGAGTCAAGAATTGGGGTTTGCAGATCTGGAGTGGCTGTGGGACGTGGAACATTCTCCTTAATCTCAGGCTTATGGAGAGAAGAGGCAAAAGGTCTGACATCTTTCCCAGGATTGTCTGTTTTTAAGGAGCAGACTCCAGGGGTAAATGCCTCAGCTGGCTCCCTTGTGCTTCTACAAGCTAAATAGGCAAGTAATAACCCTCCCGAGGACGTGCTGATTAGATAAGCCATTGAGAATCATGGAAGACACAGACATTAGATTAAAAAACATAAAACTAATGTTACTTTTACAGCGTCTGTGAATAGACAAAGACTTTTTGGTTCTAAAATAGCTGGGTGGTGAGGCAACAGAGGAGGGGCTATGTTAATAGAGGTAGAAAAAAGGAGAGGTGGGTGGGTTCCAAGAGCAAGACCCACCCTAAAGGGCCTGGATTCAAGGGCCCAGGAGCATCGGTCACCGCACTGGGGGTGAGTAGAGTGGATTTTAAATATACGGAGTTACAGCTGGGTTGCAGGTGCTGGTTTGGGGATGTGAGTGAAGCAACCAAGTAGTATAGTCAGGAATTCCCAGCCTGTGAGGGTCAGGAGAGAATATTATTGCTTTTTGCTAAAGGCCTGTGCAAAACTTAGAGAGCAAAGATAAGGGACAATGTGATTGTTTAACCGAATCTATAACTATTCCAACACAGTAAAGGACAAGTGAGATAATGACCAGGTGGCCCTGTAGTAGTGTTGCTATTCTGCTCTCCCTGTCCCCACCTTCAGAGAGGGCAGTGAGTGTGCGCCTGTGCATCTGTGCAATGTCAAACTTCTATAATGAGGGGCTGAGGTCTATATCTAATTATAGTCTCTGCACAAAGGTCTAACTACCCCTCTTCAATCCATGCTCTTCAGCCATGGAAGTCACAGTGGTTGGTCCTGTGCCTCGTTCATGCTTCTTCCAATTCAATAAGGGTTATTTACAGCATCTTCTCAGAGGTTCCTAAGAGTCCAGGAAACATGGGACTCGTATAAAAATCCCCACTTCAACTAAGCTTTCCGACCCGAAGAAGGCATGCTTTTACCAAGGATCTGCTTCTTGGGCTCTTTAGGGAATGAGAGGGAAGGGATGCATGAGAAGCCAGGGAGCTAGTCCATATCTCTCTCTCTAGATGTAACGGAGGCAGTGGGGGGGGGGGTAGGGGGGGGGCTAGTTCTTGTGTATCAGGATCCCTGGAGATCAGTTGGCTTTCCAAAGAAAGTCACTAGCCCTTGATGGAAGTCTGACTTAGAAACCCAGAGCCTTAGCTTTGTGGGCTTCTGTCCCTGAGCAAGTGTGTTTTACCCTCTCTCCAAGCAGACATCCTGGGATTTGGAACTGAGCTGTGAGCTAGCTCATGACCTGAGGGATGTTCTCAGGAGCACCCTGAAGACCCACCAACCATGCTCTTTCTCCCCTTCACCCCCCAACTTATTTTGGGTGGACCAGACTAAGGAAAGCCATCTTTCTCCATCCATTGCAAGCACTCAGTAAGTGGCTTGTTTTTTGACTGAATGCCTACCCACTGTCCCTCCAATCAAGTTCGTCATCCGGAGAGGCAGTAATCAAGTGTTTAGACTTAATAATAGAGATGCTCAAGCGTATCTTTTACTTCCTACTTTGTGAACAGGGATGGTGGCCATGCCAGCAAAGGAGATACTTCAGCACGAGTGATGTCACAAGAAACAGATGGTAGAGTGTGTTCTCCAATGTTACCATTCCCCAAACCAGAATTAACTGGTCTTCGATTTCCTTTTCTCAACTGTCTGTAGAAAAGTTTGCTTCTTGAGCTACTTGAGATCCACTTCCCTATCTAAAGAGTTGGACTCTGTGCTGCTTCTACTAATTTATTATCTCAGAAGTACATAACTGGGATGATTTTTATATAACCTTGAGGACAGGAGTCCTTTAAAATTCTCCTACTCAAAAAATGGATTCAGCTTGGTTTGAGGCCTAATAAGGTACTGCAATGCTCACCTCTTTTAGCATAGGTGGAAAACTGGGTCTGACCACACCCTCCTCTTGTGTCTTAGCCTTCCTGTCCTTAATCCAGAACAAGAATAGCCCTAATGGAGAAACAGAAAATGGCCGTCCACACCTACTTCATTTCTGCCCCCTTTACCCTAAGTCTGGGCAACCTGCAACATCAATTTATTTCAGACTTTGAATTCAACTCAGCCAGGTCTTGTTACTCACCTGCTGTGTACCAGGCATGATGTAAGCACAGTGATAGCCTGGTGCTGCCTCATATAGGGTAATCCCTCTTGGTCAGAAATTCAGTCAGCAACCATTTCAGTGCCTACCGGGAGGTGAAAGGCACTTTGCTAGGCTGTAGGGGCAATATGAGGATAAATAGCACATGGGTCCCGCCCTCAGAGAGATTATAATCTAATGGGAGATACAAGATATATGCATATTTTAATTAACAACTGAAGATAATATTGTGTAACTATTCCATGGAACAAGCATCACTCATGGGGTAAAATCAGAAAACAACTTGATTTTTGCCTGTTAATGCTCTTTTAAATTTATTCTTTAGGGCTAGATCTTACTCTGTCCCTGGATGAAATTTCGACAAGTCACATGATTATTCTGGTCACCCTTGCTCTCAGTCTTATTTCAATAATTATGATGTCCATCCCAATAATAATCCAAACTTCAATCTTAATGTAAATCGAGTCATCTTCCCATCCCAGCTTGGTGCTGCTGAAGAGAAGGCTATGGTGGTTGGTGGTCTGGAAGGGAAGTCCTGGTTTCTACTCTTCCTCACTTATTTAGCTATCAGGGGTCTGCAGCCCCATCAGGGTTGTTGACTAGGGAAGGAGAAGAGATAAGAGTAGGAAAATTCTCCCTACACATTTGTGATCTCCAGCCTCACCAGGCTCCTCAGTGGAACGTGGCAATTCTTTTACACATCCCTAGTCTGACCTCTCTGTTATTCCCCTGAAGGCCAATCTTTCTACCCTCCTCAACTACCCATCCCACCACCACACTCTGACCTCTCACCTCCTTCCTCATGGAGAAAGTCTATGTAGTTGGGTGGAAATTTCCTCTGCTTTTGCCTCCACCTGTCATCTCTTCCCTTCCTTTTACTTCCTTGTCTGGGAAGAAGTTGCCCTCCTCCCCTGGTCCTGGCTCAGCCTTTCACCTCTGCTCTGAACCATGAATCCCCCCAAAGTCAGTCAGCAGAGCAGGGCCGCCTGGCATGGAAAATGCCAAGATTTGGAGACCAAGAGTCCTTTTTTTTGGATAGGGCTATTCTTTGTTGTGGCTCATACAATACAGCTCCTTGTAATTAATCTCTACATTTAACAGAACTCCAGTCAAAGTAAAAAAAGGACTGTTTTTATTATTAAAATTATTTATTTTTTTTGCGATATAATATACACAACATAAAATTTACCATTTTTGAGTGTACAATTCAATGGCATTATGTTCACATTGTTGTCACAACCATCACCACCGTCCATCTCCAGAACTTTTTCATCACCCCAACTAAAACTCTATACCCATTAAACACTAACTCCCTATTCCTCCTTCTTCCTAGCCCCAGATAACCACTATTCTACTTGCTGCTTCTGACCTTGGCTGTTCTAGGTACTTCATATAAGTGGAGTCATATAGCATTTGTCTTTTTGTGACTGGCTTATTTCACTTAGCATAATGTCTTTAACGTTCATCACATTGTAGCATGTACCAGAATCTCCTTCCTTTTTGAGGCTGAATAATATTCCATTGTATCGATATCCTACATTTTGCCATTCATTTATCCATGAACATTCGTGTTGTCTCCACCTTTTGGCTATTGTGAGTAACGTTGCTAGAAACATGGGCATACAAGTATCTGTTTGAGTCCCAGCTTTCAATTCTTTTGTATACCCAGAAGTGGAATTTGTTTTTGAATAGAGAATAGATCCCTTTGGTGGACAATATAAAAGGTACAAGAGATTACACATTGGCCCCTGAGCCCCTGCCGCCCAGTTCCCCTCCCAGGAATCATCGCTGTAACCAGTTTCTTATGACTTCTTCCCTGGAGAGGCCATACATGCAAATGTATACCACACACACAAATGGTGGCAAACCAGAAGCATTCTTCTACACTTTGCTTTTTTCCCATTTAACAGTATTTCCAAAAAGTCATTCCATATCACTGTTTAAAGAGTATTCTCAAACTATTTAAAAGCTTCATGGTTTTCCAATATACAGACAAAACTTTTTTTTAATTAGTCCCCTATTGATGGACACTTAGGTTGTTTCCAATGTTTTGCTGCCATGAACAATAAGAGCCAGAATTTACTGAGCACTTTACTATGTGCCAGGCCCTCTTTACATCTTTTCCAGGTATTATATCATTTAATTCCCATGATCACCCTCTGACATAAGGGTAGGAAAGTGAATAACTACCCCAAACCACTCACATATCTTTGCTCACAGGTGCGAGTATATCTGTAGGATAACTTTCCAGACAACCGCTGCCACCCAAAGGTATGTGCATTTTTAAGTTTTATAAATATTGCCAAAGTAGCCCCATAGAGTCTGTGCGCACCTGCAGTCTCACAGCCAGTGTGTGGCAGAGGGCCTCTTTCCTTCCACTGTCGCCGTTGTGAAACTTTTTGATATTTGGCAATCTGAAAGGTGAAAAGTGGTATTTCACTGTGGCTCTGATTTGCCTCTTCTCTCTCTCATTTTTTTAATGAATGAGGTTGAACATCTTTTCAAATGTTTAAAGGTCACTTGTTTTACTAATGGGTTTTAAAAACTTGATAAGATGACTCTACAGTGGATTTAGGAGAATCTATGGGCAAGGTAGCCTGGATGCTTTTACATTTTAATTTTATTTTTATATTTTTTTGAATAGGCAATACAGTCACAAGATCCAAAATTCAATAGGAATTGAACTCTCCAAGTCTCTCATTAGCTGCCTGATTCCTGTCCCTAAATGCAATATGGGTTCCATTTCTCCCACCTGCTCCTGTGGTTATAATCTGGGCCATGCTGTTACCCTGTAAGCTACTCTATGTCTGAAATATTAAGTTCAAACATCCCAATCTGACCCCACCACTGACCTCTCACCTCCACACAGCACCTGACCTTCAACCTCACCACGACTCCTCTTGTAACACACCACCTGCCTCTTCCTTTCCCATGCGGGTGAGATTCTCAGCACCTCCTGAGGCTTCACTTCATTGCCCCACTGGTGTACAGCCATCCCAGCCTGGAAATGCTTATTTTCTGTTTCATAGCACCTAGCCCAGTGTTGGCCCACCCATGGATTGGTCTCATTTTAAAATCATAAGCAGGATAAACACATATCTTATTCCCCAAACTGGAACCCTTTTGAGAATGCAAGGGGCAGTACTAATAATGAGGCCAAGACAACAGGGCAGATGGGGACTGTCCAAGGCAAACTGGGATGCCAGTTCAACCAATCTTTTTTTAATTTCTTTTTTTTTCTTTTTTTAATTGCAGTAACATTGAATTATAACATTATATAGCTTTCAGATGTACATCGTAATATAGTTCGAATTCTGTGTAGATTACATCATGTTCACCACCCAAAAACTAATTATTGTCCATCCCCTCACATGTGAGCCTAATCACTCCTTTTGCCCTCCACCCCCTTTCCCCTATGGTAACCACCAATCCAATCTCTATTGCTATGTGTTTGTTTGTCATTGTTTTTATCTTCTACTTATGAGTGAGATCATACGGTATTTGACTTTCTCCCTCTGACTAATTTCACTCAGCATAATACCCTCACAGACCATCCATGTTGTCACAAATGGCCGGATTTCATCATTTCTTATGGCTGAGTGGTATTCCATTGTGTATAAATACCACATCTTATTTATCCATTCGTGCCTTGATGGGCACCTGGGTTGCTTCCAAGTCTTGGCTATTGTGTATAATGCTGCAATGAACATAGGGGTGCATATATCTTTATGCCTTTGCGTTTTCAAGTTCTTTGGATCAACCAGTCTTAAGGAACAATCTCATTTAATTTCAGGGCAGAGATAAATGCGCTGAGTCCAACAAATGATTAAATTGCTGCCATTGTCCACTGCCCAAGCTTCTCCTCTAAATGAGATTTTTTTTAATAGCACATTTCCCCAACACTATTTTCTTAAAAAGTCTATCCTTTGGAATACCAGTTTCAGCCCCTATATTCAAGTGTGTAAGAAACATTAGTTTATTTTCTAAAACTCTCCATCTGTGTTTTGATCCCTCATTTTAAAAAGGTGCCTTTTTAAAGGTGGGGTGGGGAGCAGTGTTCTAGACTCAGGGACCTACACTTGATGTCATCTGTCCTTGTCCCATCTAGTCCTTGTTCGTTGGTGCCTGCAGGTCATTGTGGAGCTCAGTCTCTCTCCATGTCTTCATGCTGCCTTGGGCGAGGGGTAGGGGACAGCCTTGATCTGTCTCGTGACCATCCTCTCCCATACGTGAATCTGGGTCTAGGCCAGGATTCTTTTCTATTCCCCTAAGGGAAGAGGTTCTTTTAATCTCTTTTCTGCTTTCACACACCCTCCCTGAGGCAAAGCACAGAATGGTCTGGCTATTTGAATGAGGAAAGGAGGTAAAGAAAACAGGCTGGAGGAGGCATTGGCTAATCTTTCAGAACATTATTTCGCGAGGCGTATAGAAATGTCTTATACAAGGGGTGCTTCCTGTTTTAACTATTATGATTTCATAATTTTCTATATATTTTAGTAAACCCCCTCTACCCCCATCCCCCAGGCCAGTTCAGCCATTCACCAGCTGTGTGAACTTGGGCAAGTTATTTGGTCCTCTTGGAGTTCCAGTTTCCTCCCCTGTACATGAGGATAATGATAGTTTGTATTGATTAAGTCCTGACACTTGCCAAGCACTATTCTAAATGTTTTATGTGTATTAACTCACTTAATCCTGCCCATAAACCTACAAGATAGAGACTATTATTCCCGTTTTATAGATGAGGAAACTGTTTTTCAGGATTGTAAGTAACTTGCCCAAAGTCACATGATCTCCTGCTCTCCCCCTGCCCAGCCCTTCCCTTCATAAATGCTAATGGCCTCATGCAGTCACTTTGAGGACGAACTGAGGTCGTGTGTGTAAAGCTCTCAGCCCAGATCCTGGCACATAGTAAAAGCTCAATAAATTCTAAGCTAATGTATATATATTTTTTGCTGAGGAAGATTAGCCCTGAGCTAACATCTGTACCAACCTTCCTCCACCTTATATATGGGTCACAACCACAGCATGGCTGATGAGTGGTGTAGGTCTGTGCCCAAGATCGGAACCTGTGAACCCAGGCTGCTGAAGCGGAGCACACCAAACTTAACCACCAGGCCATGGGGCTGGTCCCAATTCTAAGCTAATATTTTAATCATGATTTTTTGGTCATTCTCATCCAAAATGCCTTTGGAATTGTATTGAAAATGTATAGACATTTCTGAATATTTAACATATTTGCCCTATTCAGTTTTCCCATCCAGGAATATGGTACCTTCTTTTATGTTACTTAGCAAAATGTTATCGTACATTCTTATATAAGATGTGCCTTTCTAGACGTCCAGAAGTTTATTTCTAGATGTTGTAGGAGTTTTGTCACTATTGAAAATGAAATCTTTTTCCCCATGATATGTTTTAATGAGACAGTGTTGGTGTCCCCAGGCTCTCGTTAATGAATCACCCATCGGATTCCCCCAGAGTAGTGGCTTCCCACAGTTCTCTCATTTTAGACTGACAATAAGAAGATCACTTAATCCTCACAGTGACACACACTCTGACAGGAAGTGAGGCACAGGGTGAGCAGTGGCTTTCCAGGGTGGCTCAGGCTTGCCGAGGTGGCCAGAGCATTGTCCCCTGGCTCAGGAAGTATAACTTAGGGGAGGGAAGGGGTCGGCTTGCTCTGGGTCCCTCCCAGAGCCTGTCGAAGGGATGAATTCCCAGGTGCCCACAGTTCCTCTGTGGCCTCAGTGATTCCCAATGACGTTTGCCACACGATGGCTCAAGTGGCAGCTTTGCCAGGGGCCAAGCTCGCTGCCTTGGGAGTCTGGCTGGCTTAAGTAAGGGGACTGCCACGTGGGAAAGCCTCATTTTTCTCTGAGGACTAGATCATCTGGAGAGTCCCTAAGTCAGCTTTTGCTAGCCTCCACCTGGGGCCTCCAGAGGGCAGCAGAGAACAGGTGCTGGGGAAAGAAAAGGCCCCTGTATGGGGCCTGCAGAGGGATCTCCGTTCCCAGAGAAGTAAGGATGGCTGCTCCATTCCTGTAAAGGGCCAGGAGTACCCCTCCCTGCTTCCTCAGAACAGACGTGTCATCAGCTTCCTTGGAGTAATAAATATAATAATATTACTAGTTAATACTAATTATTTCCTGTGGGTCAGACACTGACCTGAGATTTTATGTATTTTGCTTGAATCAGTTCTCATAACAACTCTTTAGGTAGATATAATTATTATTCCCATTTTTCAGTTGAGGAAATTGAAACAAACAAACAAAAAAAGATATGTAACTTGCCCAAGATCCCACAGTTAGTGGAGCCAGGATTTGAACCCAACCATTTACAAGCCTCTGTTTTAGGTATCAGGGATGCATCAGTGAACAGACAATAAATGAGTAAGCAAACAAACACATAATACGGTTTTGGATAGAAATGCCATACAGACAGAGAAGGCAGAGTTAAGGACTAGAAAGGAGCATTTTAGATGGGCTGGTCAGGCAGGGCCTTCTTGGGTAGATGGCATTTGACTAGAGAGCTGAATACATGAGGGAGCAAGTCATGCTGAAGGTTGGGGAAACAGTAAGTGCAAAGATCCTGAGGTAGCAATGAGCTTGAGGTATTAGAGGAACAGCAGGCTATGCAGCGTGACTGGTGCAGACTAAGTCAAGGTCTGTGCTGTTGCTGGCCACAGGCCACAGCAGTGATCAGGGGGTAGATGGAAATGGGAAAGGGAGAGGACCCATCCACTGCATAAACTGGGCCTGCCCTCTTTGGGTTTCTCAGCTTCCCTTTCAGATATCTCTCATCTTTTTTCATCCTCCTGTATGTTCTCGACACCATCACGGCATGTTCCCTCCTCAACCCTGGCTACAGTTCAAAAGCAGCTCAAGTCGACAAGAATCTGGGGCAGCCAGTCTTGTACCACCCACCAAAGCTTAGCACAAACAATCCGAGAGCCAAAAATTATGCATACTGGAGTGAGTCTTGCCCAGCTCGTGGGGAACTTCTTGTGGGTAAAAGTTCTAGATAAGCCTGCTGGGGCCCCCAAATGAATCCTTCTTCCCACCAACGCAAGGGCCTGAACTTTGCAGGCCTCTCCAGGGTAGGAAGCTCAGTCTGTCTTCATGGAACTTTGTCCCTCATGCCAGGGCCCGGCATCAAACCTGCCTAAACCCTCCCATATGTTAAACCCAGGTGGGGTTCAGATGGCATTGGGCCAGGTGATGGAAAGAAATCTGTCCCAGTGAGGAGCCACCCCTGTCCACCAGCTCTCTAAAGGAGATTGGGGCACAGTGGTCCAAAGCTGCAAATGACTGAGTCTTTACCCCTCCTCCCTCCTCGTAGGGACCAGGATTGAGGGGGTCCATGTGGAGCGCTCCTGTGGCCCGGGTTAGAGGCAGCCTAGAGCCTAGAACCAGAGGGGCTGAATGGTGTAATCTGGGATTTCTTGACCTTGGCTCTATTGCCAGTTGGGGTCAGCTCTTTGTTGTGGGGGTGTCCTATGCATCACAGGATGTTAGCCACCCTCCCTGGCCTCTACCTCCTCCCAGTGTGACAACCAAAAATATCTCCAGATATTGCCAAGTGTCCCCTGAGGCAGGGAAACACCTGTGACTGAGAACTGTTGGGTCCAATCTTTTCCCTTTCCTCTAAGTCAATGCAGAGATCTCAGCTGTTAGCACTCTGGTGGTGAGGAAGAATGGAAAGTCCCCAGACATTTATCTCAGTGCTTGAAGCCAGCTGGGTGAACCAGTCTCCTTGGCAGTAAGGTGGAAAAGCCCAGACGGAAGGGAGTGGAGAGAAAAGAGGTGGCCAGATCTTCTCTCAACAGTTCTGGGCTCCCAAAACTAAACCATGAGGAAGGGCAGGGATAGAAGTGGCCATAGGCATCATGGGGCCAGGTCTCTCTCTCCCTCCCGATTCCATCTTTCAATCACAGCCCCCTCCCCCCGACACCTCTGCCACTCTGTGGATTGGCTTTTTCCTCTCCCCCCGAAGACAGGCTTTCTCCTGAGATAAAAGAGAGCTTAGTGCAGAAGAAGGTTAATGGATGGGCTGATTTAGACTAAGAGATTGGCAGGGCTGGAACAAGAGGCTTGGGTGTCAATGAGGGAGGAGTGAAGGGATTCATCATGGGGTCCAGATCAAGTGGAGAGTAAACGAAGCCATGAGGGGCTGATGGAGGAAGAGAAGAGAAAGCTGTTTGAAGACTAGAGGTCTTCATTGGGTTGTCAAGCAGGATGGAAGAGAGAGATTAGGAAGTTGTCTGCTAAGACTCCCACCTTTGGCCCAGCTCCATAAATATTTGTTTATTCTGTTCCAGAGACACAGACTCATAGAATCACAGGATGTTAGAGCTTGAAGGAAACTTAGAGACCATTTAGTCCACTCAGCTTCATGCAGGCTCTTTCGTTAATTCATCAGCATTGGAATTTGAGGATGATTCTTGTTCACAATCTTTCTCTCTGTGCTTGGAATTCCCCTTTACTTGGAATCAAATGAGAAATAAGAGACAGGAGTCAAACAGCTGGAAATTAAAATAACCTCATAACAGATAAAGCAGATTGGAGAATTTGGTTTAGACTGTACCACTACAATTAGGCTTCCCAATTCCCTGCCCCAGAATCAAACTTATCTATCCAGCGCTGGAAGACTCCCTACCTGCAGGGCTAGAACTCTCCCTGGGAATTTTAGTGTGAAGAGAGGAGGAGAGGAGGGCAGTCGGCCTTCCCTGGGGCAGGCAGTTCTCAGAAGGATCAGGGTCAGGGCACATGTCCATTTTTTCCTTCCAAATTCACCATGCACAAGAGCCACTCATCATCCACTAGGTAGGAGGGAGTAAGGAGGCAGAGAGGTGAGTGGAGAGTACTTTTCTCAAGACTTCCGAAAGGAGAGAAGCACCTCCTTTGTAGGGAAGGGTAAAGTACTTGGATGGAGAGAGATGAGTTCCCCCTAACAAGTCATCATTTATTAAGTGCAAACTCTGCTCCAAGAAGACTGAAGTCCAGAGAGGTGAAGTGATTATCTGAAGGTCAGACAGCTCTGGGGACAGAATAAGTTTCTCCAGACCCCTTATGCCAAGTCTTTACTATTTCACACTTGTAATCACAGCAGGTCAGGTTCATCCAGGGTCATCAGAATAAAGTCAGTAACAAGAATCATTCTGCTCCATCATTCAGGTCTTCTCACCTCTTTCTCCATTACCACTACTGCCTTTACCAACTCCATCTACACCTTCACCCCCTCCATCCACCTTGTCACCTCCATCTACACCTCATCACCTCCAAATACACCTCCACCACCTCCAATTATACCTCATCATCACCATCTACACCTCCACCACCTCCATCTACACCTTATCACCTCCATCTACACCTCATTCCTCCATCTACACCTTCACCACCTCCATCTACACCTTGTCACCTCCATCTACACTTTATCACCTCGGATTACACCTCCACCACCTCCAATTATACCTCATCACATCCATCTCCACCTCCTCACCTCCATCTATACCTCATCACCTGCATCTATGCCTCATCACCTCCATCTGCACCTCTACCACCTCCAGTTACACCTCCACCACCTCCATCTACACCTCCACCACCTTCATCTGCACTTCATTACCTCCATCAATACCTTTACCACCTCCCTTTATGCCCTACTACCATATTTCCACTTCTACCATTCTACCTACCAGTTCCACCTCTACCATTTCCTCCATCGTTACTACTACCTCCCTTTTTGTTAGCAGGCAGCCAGCACACCCCATGTGGGTAGAAAGGAAGATATGAACTAGAGGTTTTCTCACATAGCTCTGTTCTCAAGAAGTCTTCAAGGTCTTTGAGATCAAAGATCTCTCCAGCTCATGATGTCCCTGATCCCTCCAAAAAGATCATTTTGGAGTATTTTATGAAGATTGTGATAAGGATACATAAACATAAGTACACATGCTTATACAAACTCATTGATGACAAGTACAAACTGCCACAATTTCTAAGCCATGTCCCAATCTGTCAGCTGCAGATTTAGGTACTTGCAATGTGATAAGATCCATTATTGGCATCTCAGCAGTCCTCAAAGCTCTAATGACCTAAAGGTTGAAGATATTCAAGTGAGCTATAATTTTGGGTGCCAGCCAGCTGGGGTCACGCTAGTATATAATACCAGACCCAGGCCTCTGCAGGCTCCTGGAGGTGCTGCCACCTGTATATAAAATGGACAACCTGGGGTGGTGTGAGATCATCTCTAAGGTCTTTTAGACCTCCAGCTCTAACATCCCTCCAAGAGAGAATCTAAAAATGATCTGGGATAGAAACCATGCAGGGAGATAAACTAGCATTTCAAAATCCAGGCTGAAACATAACAGTGCCATAAAAAGATCATCAAGTTAAAATCCAGGAAGAAATTTAGAGCGGGGCTGGCCTGGTGGCATAGTGGTTAAGTTCGCATGCTCTGCTTCAGCAGCCCAGGGTTCATGGGTTCTGATCCTGGGTATGGACCTATCCACCACTTATCGAGCCATGCTGTGGCATTGTCACACATACCAAAAAAAAAACAAAAACAGAGGAGGATTGGCATGTTTTCTCAGGGCCAATCTTCCTCACCAAAAAAAGAAAGAAAGAAATTTAGAGCAAAGACATCTGCCTATGATGTGGCCAGCTCTGTTCAGACTCTGCACTACCCTGCTCTGTCAGCCAACCAGGCATCAGTCCCTCATCCTGCAGGAGTGTCCCTTCCCCCACCCTGGTCACATGGCTGGCTGCCAATGAGCCCCACAAGTCAATCTCCAATGCCCCAAATACTGTTCAGCCTGGAAATCACAGAGTGTCCTTCTTGCCACCCAACAGCAACAGAGCGAGTGACTGGCCTTCCTGAGACTCAGATCGTGGCTTCCAGTGCTGAGTGTGAAGGTAAGTTTGCAGCTTGGAACTTCAGATGTAGCGGACAGAGCCAAGCCGATAAGGGAAAATGTGAGTTACGGGATGAGCACAGAGTATTTAAGAGGAAGCTTCACACACTGAGAAGGAGAATACCCTGAAAGCTGGATAAATCCTCCAAATGAGCATTGGCTATTTGCCTTTCCTTAAACAATTATACTGTATTAGTCACCCTGGTGCCTTGAGTTCACTGGTTTGGGGCACAAAACTTCACGCCAAATTAACAGAAATGATAGGAGACTCATTCTGTTGGATGCCCTGGTGAGTTAGCTCTTTTTTGTTCTCCTCTGATGGAACTAAGAATCTTTTTCTTCTAGGCACATAAATTCTATCATCTTTGCCAAATTGTGAAACTGGCTGAAATATTTACAAAGTAAGCAAAAACCCTAAGACTTACGTCTTGCCCAGAAAACTATGGGAAAATAAATTACACTTGTTATTGTGACATCTTGGGATAGAAACTGAAAAATGGCTGGCTTCCTTTCATTACACATTCCTGCCGTTAGGTTTTGGATGTGGTACCTGGCTTTGTTACTGGTAGTTTGCTTAGGGATATTTTGTTTGTTTGTTTTGTTTTGTTTTTTTCTCCTGGGGCGTGCATGGATAGGGTCTGCAGGGCCCAGAGGCAGTGGATAAATCATCAGTTGGGCAGGTGGCCTTTCTCTTAAAGTCCAGCATGACCCCATGTCATTCTTGTCAATTAAGTTCACAAAATAATCTCAGATGAGTCCCTGGGAGGTCTTTTGCTGAAATACTTTGGGCTATCAGAGGGATTCAATGGATACTATGTTGGGCTGGTCCCATACAATAAAGTCAAATGGCTTAAAAGGTGGGGTAGGAGGAAAAACTCCCCAAAGGCTGACTGATGAATGTGGTACAACCTTTTTTCTCGTTAGTTTTCTTCCAGAGACATGGACATCTAATCTTGAAGATACATTGACATATTTTGCCCTTCTTCCCTAATAATTATTTTGCTCTGTTTGTTCTCAGTGTCTAGTGCAAATATCTGGAACAAAGTAGATTTGTTGGACTGAACTGATGTGCCCTTGTGGATGGGGTGGAGGCCTTAAATGGCCGGTGATTCCGTCACCAGGGTTTTGTTGGTCAAATGTGCTGTCCACCCATGAGGCTAGCTGTGTCACCACCTCCTTGCTGCAGTGGACTGGGCAGGCGCCCTGAGTGACTGCTAGCCAGTGTGCCACTCTGGTTCTTATCCTTACAGGCTTAGGGCACTGATTTTGTCAGTAGGGTTTGGATTCTCAGGGATCTCAAATGTGATTCCAGGCTGGTGGCAGGGGCAGTCAAGTGGAATAGGGCCCTTAAGTGACTCAGGACAGAAGACACTTTGGTTGGATCCCTCACCATAAAGCTATGCTTACCACCAGGGTCTAAAGATCGTTGGGAGAGTAATGGTGAGCTGGTTGGGCAGTGGAGGAGCTTGTGTAGGGAAAACTTCCAACACAAGTTCTGTCATTTGCTGCATGCGAGGGGCTGGTGTGTTGTTAATACAATTCCTTTGACAACACACTGTAGTGGATGGTTGTACTGGTTAATACTCTTTGGATGTAAGTAATTCAAACCAACTGAAACTAGCTGAAGAGAACAGGGAGCTCATTATAAGGCCATTGGGAGACCTTGTGGATGGGAATTCGGCTAGACCTCAGGAAGGGCCTGGAACTCAGAAGTGGAAGGCTGTCAGAAACCCACCCCAGACCCCCACTATTTCCCACATCTTCACATCTTTTCTTCCTCTTCTTCCTCCTTCCTTCTTTGCTGCCTCCCTTCCTGTCTTTCTTCTTTCCTTCCTTGGGTCTAGGAACCAGAGATAATCCTATTTTAATCTTGGCTGCACCAGGCCTGGCTCCTTGACACAGGAAAAGTTACTTAATTCTCTGAATCTCCATTTCCTCATCTGTAAAATGCAGGTGAAAATTATGCATCTCACTGAATTTTAGTCAAGATTAAATGAGCGTGTGAAAGTGAAACATCTGACATTCAATTTCTCTACATTATATGAAATGCTGGAGATAGAAATTCTGTTTCATGGGTTAGGTCGTGATTGGAAATTTTTATGAGGGACCCTGCAGCTGCCAATCAGAGCAGTGGTTAATCTAAATGCTTTCCATATGGCCAACATTCTGCTTCAAATGGATGGCTTCCTTTGAGTATGATCTGGGGCAGGCGGGGTTCTTCTCCTCCTTCTGCAACTCCTGGAAGGGAGCTTCTCTCCAGTTGTGAGGAGGTGGGACCCAGCACAGAGGAGGTGAGGAAAAAATGTCTCAACTAGTGTAGAACTGGGAGGTGTGCATCTCCCTGAATGTAAGCTACCTTATAGATCCGTAATTCTGTGGTTCTGTGGCGTTTTCATCTGTATTTGCATCTGTATCATCATTTTTTTATTCACTTTTGTTTGGCTTCCAATCTGAAAATCCATAGCACTTCAATATGAAAGAACACATTTTTAAAACATGCTGGAAAACTCTATTTCATTTGTATCAGTCAGGAACTGCTGAGTACAAGTGTCAGAAACCTAACTTAAACCTGAGAAAAATAAAGTGAATTTATCAGCTCAACACAACAGAGAAGGCCAGTTCAGATTTCACTGATTCAGGGGGTTAGTCTTCTCAGTATTCCGTTTCTCTACTTTCTTTGGATACTTCTCGCTATGTGGCAGGCAAGATAGTAGCACCTGAGCTTATCAGCTTCAGGAGGCGGGAGCTAGGGCCAGAGCCAGAGGGAGGCAGTGTTTTTGGATGGATCTGTCCTGGGAAGAATTCTGATGGGCCTAGCTTTGGGTATAGGATCATCCCTGAACCAATGTCTGTGACTGGGGATGGGCAGTGTTTGATTGGCCAGACTGGGTCACATGGTCTTTCCTATTTGAGGCTGGGGAGAGGTGGAGTGAGTTCCATCTAAACCATTTGGAGGCGGTTCTCTATTGGGAAGAAGATCTGTTACTCAGCTTCTCTGTTCTCCTCACTGTGACCAGGCCAGAGGAGGAAGATATCAACTCTCAAAAAAATCACCAACCTGTCCCAGCTACCAGTGTTGTTAAGATTAGCTTGCTAAGCTTACCAGGCCACAAGCTCCGTTTGAATGAAAAGATGTGATATTGTTAGGGATGTGAAGCTCACGTGAAGCAAACTCTGAGTATGGTGATTCAGTTTAACAAAAAATATAAATTGGGAGTTATCTCCTTAAAACAGCGGTTCTCAGAGTGTGGTTCCCTGGATCCACAGCATCAACTGGAAACTTGTTGGAAATGCAAACTCTCAGGCTCCATTCAGATCTACTAAATCATAAACTCTGGGTTGGGACCCAGCAATCTAGGTTTTAACCAGCCCCCCAGGTGACTCTGATGCCTGCTTAAGTTTGAGAACCGCTGTCTTAAAGGTTCTTTGTTTTGTAGTTATCCTGAACATTTTGAACATGATTTGCTTTGAACAAATAGATTTAACCATGGATTTTCAAGGAATATAGTTATTGTATAAAGGGAGAGCACATGTGTCATATTAAATTATTTGCTTTAAAATGTTTAAAATAAAAATAATATACGACTATAATTTAAAAATCAAGTAAGACATGTGAGAGCTTTTAACAAAAAACGACAGAACTCCATCCCAGCTTTTTACACACCCCACAGTTCCACTTCCCAAAGACAACCAGTTGGAATTCTTTTAGCTTTTTCTGTTGGTTACCTACACCTCTCTAATAATAATAATTATTATATATATGTATCTCCTGCTATTTATCAAAGTTAGAAATTAGCCACCTACAGGTGAATATTTAACTATCTTACACCATACCCATCGTCTCTTCTTCATCCTCCCAGTGAAGAAATATCATCACTGTTTCTAGTTAATGCAAAAATCAGTTTTTATACTGTTATGATTATCTACCATGATCACATTTTATTTCTTTCAGTTTTAATTTTTCACTGGTGTTTCTAATTGCCTTTCTTTTCCTTTGCATTTTCCATCTTTGTCACTCCCTTAAGTTGTTCCGAATTCTGAAGGAGTGTATGAAATCTCTCGCATTTCCTCTTTTCCTTGGGGGGCTCCTTCTGAAACCTCACTTTTAGCTCTTGTTTGAGGACTGACTGCTCCCCAGGACCATAGCACAGCTGTCGTGTGGAAACCTCCCTTCATTATTTGGGTTGGATCTGCTCTCTCCTGGATCCCACTGTCTTCCTTTTCTTGGTTCCTGGTGATAACATACCTAAAGAACCTCCTAGGAAGTTATGAGAGAGAAGTAAAATGATTTCTTGCATGTCTGAAAATGTCTTCTACCCTCGCTCTTTTTTTTGTGTGTGTGTGTGTTTTTTTTTTTTGGAGGAAGATTAGCCCTCAGCTAACTACTGCCAGTCCTCCTCTTTTTGCTGAGGAAGCCTGGCTCTGAGCTAACATCCGTGCCCATCTTCCTCTAGTTTATACGTGGGACGCCTACCACAGCATGGCTGCCAAGCAGTGCCACGTCCGCACCCGGGATCCGAACCAGCAAACCCCGGGCCGCCGAGAAGCGGAACGTGTGAACTTAACCGCTGCGCCACCAGGCCGGCCTCTCTTCTACCCTCGCTCTTGACAGTAGTTTTGTTGGGTGGAGAATGCGAGGCTGGAGATCATTCTCCCTCAGAATTTTGGAGGCATTGACTCATCATCTTCTGTTATCCACATTACTGACGAGAAGTCTTCTGACAATCTTATTTTTACTCATTTATAGGTGACCTCTTCCTGTTTCTTTCACTCTAGAAGTTTTTAGGCTCTTTCTTTTCTTCACATGTAGTATTCTAAAATTTCATAATGACATATCAAAGTGTGAGGATTTTTCTCCCCAGTCATTCTTTGTGAAGAATACTCACTTGGCCCATTTTATCCGAGCATTTTATGTCAGCATTATGTCATTAGTTCTCTTATTTCTTAGAAATTTTTAATAAAATATTTCAAACTTGTAGAATGACAGACATCCATATATCA